TTTTGAAATTGTGTTTTATACGTTTCACATGTCCATTCATTATTTTAACTGACTGTTATTCATCACCAAGTATTTTGCAGGGAGTTTTTACCAATCAGACAGATGGACAGGCAGGCAGGCAGGCAGGCAGACAGGCAGACAGGCAGACAGGCAGACAGGCAGGCAGACACATGCACACACGCACGGATGCACGCATGCACAGAGAATAGAACTCAGTATTTTACTGGACCAAACAGTAGGTTTTCAATGTGGATGAAACCACTCCACAATAGAAAATGATGGAGAAGCAGTTAATGCCTAATTTTGAAGCTTCTGAGGTCAGGTTAGCACTCGTGGCTGAGGCTATGGTAGCTGGCAACTTTAAATCAACTTTAAGTCATTTGCCATTCAGAAAATATCTGTGCTCATTTAAAAAAAAAATCTAAATCTTCCCTGCTCTAAATGGAACAACAGAGCCCAGATAGCACATCTTTTTGCAACACGGTGAATGAATATCCTTATCTCACTGTTGAGACTTACACTTCAGTGAAGAAGGTGGCTTTTAGAGTATCAATGCCCATTGGCAATACATTGGCCCATGTATGAGTTCTTACGGAGATTATGATGAAATCAATGCTACTTCATGCCTGCAAACACAGCATATGTTCTGTAGCCTGTGTGTCAAGAAGGAATTTTGACTTCCAATCCATATTCTTTTTGTTCTTGCTTTGGAGTGGAGCCTGTCCTGGAACTCTCCAGGCTGGTCTTGAACACAAAGAGATCCACCAGTCTGTGCTTCCTGAGTGCTGGATTAAAGGCATGTACCATTAATGCCTGTCCCAATTCTTCTTTAAGAACAAAATACCACAAGGCTACAGTGATTTATATGATACATTTAGGCCAATTAAATTGAAGATCTGCGAACTGCTTAGTAAAAACATTCTTAGATCATTAAGGAAAGACAATATAACAGCACTAAGAAGAATCTGTAAAGTTATTTCCAAGCTGCTTCAGTAGGTTTGGAGGGCTCAAGACAGTCATGTAGGAAGTGATTCAGGTGTGGTAGAAATATGAACTAATCTAGAACTGGGAGTCGAGGCTGAGCATGTGATTGAACTGTTTGCAGTGACCTCAACATAAAATAGAGCAGATGGATGGTTACTCCTAGATGAGCAAATGAGAGAGAGAGAGAGAGAGAGAGAGAGAGAGAGAGAGAGAGAGAGAGAGAGAGAGAGATGCTGAGATAGAACCTATTCTTCCTGAAGATGGCTGGGGACAGTGTTGAATTGATAGTGAGGGATCTGCAATTGCATCACCCAAGTTGATTTCAGAGGTTTTTCTCTGATTCTTAGTGTGTTTCTGAGCTCAGTAAGCTACACGCTACAGAGGACTCCATTTTTTTTAGGAGAAGAAAAATACATTGATTCAAATATAACACTGTCTTATTTTAAGCAACAGGTACTCCACCCTCCAGCAAACACAACACTGATTAGTTGCCTGCCATTCGCATGAATTTAAGAATCTCCACCAACAAGATTATGACCCACTGAGGTCTCAGTTGATTGGGAACACTTTTTACCCAAGAAGTATTAATGAAGTTATAAGCATTGTTATTTACAACAATATTACAGTCTAATGTTATTTCAGATTTACTTAATTATATAGTATAGTATACATGGAACATATTTACCCAGAAACAACAACAAAAAACTCTGTTGCTCATTTTACTGTGACATTCTCTTTATTGTGGTAATAAACCACCAGACTCACAGTGACTCCAGGGCATACTCAGTAAGGAGTTTCAGATAATTAAGGTGGACTTCAAAGAGCAGAAAAGGCTTTATGGGTGTTCACATTCACAGACACAAATGTTATAAGCTGAATTACACACAGATGTCATAAAGTCACTTAGTTACTTATATGTAGACTGAAACTTTCAAGTTAAGTATTGCTATTATTTATTATTATTATTATTATTATTTATTATTATTATTATTACTAAACTGACCTCTCTCTCTCTGTGTATGTGTGTACATTCAGGCCATGATTTGGATGTGGACATCATACTGAGTCTTTGCCTCCTACAGTGGGACTGGGTTTCTGTTTTCCACTGGATATGCCAGGCTGCTCAGCTCCTAGGATTCTAGAAAGACTCATGAATCTACCTCTTAGCCTCTGGTAGGAAGTCTAAGATTATAGACACTGATATTATGCATCTGGCATATATGTGTTTTCTAGAGATTCAAGCCCAGGTCCTTATGTTTCTTCACCCATTTATCTGTCTTCCCAGCATTAAGGGGTTTTTATTTTATTTGGGGGGGGGGTGAAAATCCTTCCAAGCACATCTCATTTTGAAAACTATCAGTACCTCCCTATTCCTCATCCCTGTACTTCCCCATTTCTTTCCACTCTCAACCACCTTCTTGGAAACACAATTTAACCTAATGATTCCTAAACATTAATGTCTTCAAGCCATTTGACCATCTTGTTAAATGTAGTCAGTTTTGTATGTTGGGACCCAAGATTCTGCATTTCTTTCAAGTTCTCAGTCTACTCTGCTACTGTTGAAAACAGGATAGATGCCACTCTTCTCCTCATGGTCATACTTTTCACTTATTGATTACCATTACCGTCATGGGATCAGAAGTTGAATCTCTTTCTAATGCTGCTCTCAGAAATTACCAATGGCTTCTTGAATGATAAAAACCACTGGACACTGTATCGCTGCTCCCTCTATGGTTACATCTGTAATACTTGATGCAATGTACTCAACATCATCTATGGTCCAATTGTTCTCTCCTGTCTAGTCATTCCACACCTTTGTTTTCAATCCTTTGCTTGCCTGCTCCTTAAAAACCCCATGTATCATTGTGTGTTTCATCAAGTTCTCCTCCCTCTGTATCCTCCTTTGAAAACAAGTGAGATGTAATAGCTTGTTTCATTTCAGTTTTTCCTAGAAATCCCTTATCACGTTCCATGCAATCAACCTGATGGCATATGCTTATCAAGTAATTGATAAAACAATGGCCAGAGGGAAAGGGAGACAATGTTGACCTTGACTGCATTAGAACAGCCAATTCAACAGTAAAATGGGCATTAGTGGAATTTTATACCCTAAGGCTGGCCTTAAACGAATAATAACAGCAAACATACAAAGGGCAAGGATTACATGGCTGGGGAGAGAGGTCAGTGGGTAAAATGTTTGTTATGGCAGCATGATTTTAGATTCCCTAGACTCCTCATAAAAACAGGCATGGGAGCTGCTAATAATAGCCTTTCCACGTGAGGCTGAGAACCTGAGACAGGAGAATTGCTGGAAGCTTGCAAGTCAGCTAAACTAGCATGCACAGCAGCAAACAAGAAATACTGTCTCAAATAAGGTGAGATGTGAAAAACAGAAATCTAAGTTTTTTTCTGGCTTCTGCTTGTGCACTGGATAGACTTGTTAGGGTTTTCAAATGATTCAGTTCTACTCAATAAATAACAATACTGTGGAGAAATAAAAGTCAGTAAAAGACCTTTCTTGACTCCAAGTTGAAGGTCTGCCTGGGTTATATAGTGAATTTTCTGCTGTTCTGAGTAGCTCAATAAAACCTGTCCCCAAATTAATAATAATAATAATAATAGAATGTGGCTTAGGTACAGAATACTTTTCTACTACATATTAGGCCCTGGGTTTCAAACCCTTGAACCTCAAACAATCAAAAGAAACAATCTCGTAAAATACTATAAAGGCCTATAATATTCAGACAATGGATAAAGGGTGACTATTAAGGGAGTGGATTTGAAAAGTAGGCAAGATGGGGAGATGGAGAAAGAAAGAGGAGAGAGAAAATCATTATCAGAACAGATTATGTGTGAAAAAAAATGGGTATTTTCTATAGGAGAAAAAAAATAAATGGTAAAATGATTTAAATTTTTGATGCAGCCTAGATGGCTATTTTGAACATATGGATTGAACAAAGAGACATTTCTTCTAAAACCTTAGAATCATTCAGAATCACAGGGGGCACACAAGTGAGGACTGTTGTATACCGTGTCCTCCATTAGCTATTGGTGTTTAACAAAACACTCCAAACCAATGCATTGGAAAATAATCACACCATCCTTTTTTCTCATATGATGTATTCTATCTAGGGAATTCTTTCGATCCGAGCCAAGCTCAGCTGACCTCTGCTGAGATGACTCATGGAGTTATAACTGTCCACAAGTCAGCTGGAAATGAACCGGGTCTAGGGTGGTCTCAACTTGGTCTTGTCCTCTGTGGTCTCTAAGCTCTCATTAGTCTGTCCTGGGAAGGGAGAGGCAGAAGGAAATCTATTTTTCCAGTGCTCAGCATTGATTGAAATTCTTGAAGGGTTGGATGAATGTGGTGGTAATGGGGGCAGAAAGAAGAACAGAAGTAACAAAACCAATTACTTTCAGATAATATGTAACTAGTAAGTCCACACAAGGTGTGTAAGACACAGGGCTGAGTTGCATTTCTCTTCCTGTTTAGGCCATTGCTCTTTCCTCTTCCTGTTTAGGCCAAATTCAGACATACTCAGATGATTTGCCTTTTTCCAGAGTCCGCAAAAAACATCAACTGTTGCATGACAATACAGAATTGGATAGTTGTCGGGACAAACATAAAACCATAAAGAACAGATGTAGGCTGAAGACCCAACACTTTGGCCTTCCATTCTCATGGGTCTAAGTGTTCCTATTGCCTCCCCTAATGAAATATTTTTCAAATATTGAGCCTTTAGTTCATCTGGTAATTTCTACAGTGATTCCATACATTCATAGATGGTGATGTTAAGTTTATAAAATACATAATTAAAGCAAGATGAAGTTACACACATTATTTTCAATTTTATTTAAAACAAATAATGTTATGACCTTTATGAAGAAATTTTTTCATAGAAACCACATAACTTTTATTGAAATAGAAATTGAAAGACAAAATTCTAGTATCTATGCAAAAGCTGTGCATGTCAACTTGCTACAGACATGTTGACATTATATAATATACACAATAGTCACTAAGCATTTACACTGCTTTATTATAAATAATTGGAAACATCTCATTTCTCAAACCCAGATAGGAAAACAGTAAATGCCATGCTTTCTTTTCTCATTATTTCACTTTATTTTTGTAATACAAATTGAGAAACAGTGTACCTAATCCAAGACAGGTTTTTAAAACATCCATGGGAACAAACCACAACAAGAACAACAATCACAACCACAAAAATATTCCTGTTCCTTCACCTAAATGAAAATAAGGGTTTTAGAGGGAGAGCTCCGAGGGAGTCACTCATGTTAGAAAAACTGTGTAGTTCCTGAACATACCACTTGTAAGGCAAAACGGTATTTTATACAGACATATAAATATAAGAAGGAGTAGATGGTAAGCATTAAAAACCCTTTTCTTAAAACCATTAAAAGCTTTATTCTCCCAGATTGAGAAAAGTCAGTAAGGCATTGTGGGTGCAATGATCAAGACTGATATTCTAAAATTTGTATCTCACAAAAACTTTTTCTTTTATGTAAAAGCAGACCTGATGTATATTTTAGTTTTCTCATTTCATAGCAAATCGTGTTTGATTACAGTCTTTTCTAATGTAACCATGGCCATTTATAGAAAAAGAGCACTTCTTGATAGAATACTGCAGTAACATCAAGTTGTCACAAAAACGTGTCCAAAACTAGACTAGATTATGCCATAGGGACATCTTAACTAAGGCACTTATAGCAGCTAACAATCAGAAGTTTCCTAGTCTAATGACTGATTTTTTAATAGCTCTCATATATAAGGAGTTATGCCAATTTTCCTCACTAACATTATATTACAAGATAGAAATTTCTTAAAGAAACACAGCTTGAAGGAGAAAAAAATAATGTGAAAAATTGTACATTTAATCAAGTAGAATAGTAAATGCCTTTGAACACTCATATTTGTAATCATCAGTTGAGGACCACATTGTGCATTTCAGATTAAACAGGCATGGAGTTTAACACAGGTAGGCCTAAAACGCTATGTACAATGATATTTTAAAATCTCCCATTCTTTTTAGACTTCAATGTGTAATGTTTATAAAGAACTGGAGCAGGACGCCTTTTGTGAGTAAACTGGAGTTAATTAACAAAAAATTAAATTAGCACAAAATATCTGGATGAAGAATTGAAGACCTACAAACATTTTAAAAATAAAGCCATAGATATGCAAATATTTGTTGTAAGTTCTGTACAATGGGCTACTCCAACTCAAGTACTCCATATACTGCTTTACCATTAGCTGCATGCATACTGCTTTAAGAACTGGATGGTAAAGTTTCCACTTTTTATACATACTCATGCTCTAGACATATTTGTGTATCAGTAAAGCAGTTTTCAATGTAGATGAATATTGTAGTGTGAGGCCAATTTTTACCTGTCATATCCATTCTTGAATAGATTTTAACTCTTCTGAAAACGGTATTTCCCCCCAAAACCCAGTCTCCTTGAACCCCTTTCTACCTCACACTCTTACCCTACATGCACTCTGTCTTATAATGACTTTCAAGGACGGAATCTACACTTGAACACGGTAAAACTAAAACCAACTAGTAAATATGATGCTTGAAATGGGCTTCTGAAATCAACTAACTTTTAGCCAATTCAGAAGATAAGGCTGTTCTTTAGGTCACATTTGTGCAGTAACATCAGCCACATATGTTAGCAGGATTTCCTAGAATGATACCTCTTCATTGCTGCAATCTGTCTTCAACAGATTCTGGCTGTTCCCATTCTCTCTCTTTTTCATGTATGTTCTTTGCTGTATATTCTTCATTTGGATTTTACAGAAAACAAGCTGCATGTATCATCAGGGTCTTACAGGTTCAAAATATGATCCAATAGCACCTTCCTTCAAGTGTGGCGAGCTGAGCGGTTTCCTCCCCTTTTTAAAGCATGGCAGTGACTTTCTCTGGAGACAATTCATTAGAACAGTGGCCCAAGTGGTGAATCTCCTGAACTCAGAAGGCTCCAAATCCATAGTCAAGAACCTTGGTGACATCATAAAGCCACCTGCTGCTGCCAGGGAGACAAGGCTGTTTGTTTCTGAAGCTTCCAGGAAGCTTCTCATCTGGGCTTGCCCAGATGACTTTGCAGATTTCCCATACTGGCATGGCACTTTCAAAAGTCCAAGGGCCGAATCATCATGGTTGTTGATCGTAAGGAGTAGCTGGGCCCTTTGAAATAGTGCCACTTTATCCCGTTGAGTTTCCCGTGATTTTGTCCGGCAGTGTAGAACATTCCATTTAGATTGGAGGGGCCGCAGGCATCAAACCACCAACCTGAAGAAGGAGATGATTGGAGGGAAAATGAGAAGAAATAGAAGCATGTCAGGCTTAACACTTGCAGGTAACTGTCATGATTGAGGAGAGATTGTTCACACTTGTTCTCATTATTGGCAAACAAGACACTTATTGAAAATGTGTAAGTAATCAGAATGAAGGAAACTCATGCAAGCCAACTTTCAGTTTGACCATGTTGGAATTCACTTCCCACTGTAATGATGTGGAGCTTCTGAGCTTAGATTTTAAAATAAAGTCAGGCCTGGATATAAATTCAGAATTGTACCTTATGTCCTTAACTGGGAGATCAATTATCAGTGTCTTAGTGATGTCAGAAGCTTGGACAACTGTCACTTAAAAGCTAAGAAAAATATATTTTATAACTTCATGATTTTGCTAAGAATTGATCCTGTCTATAATTTATAGCAACATAGAAGATTTTCCAATAGTGGCCACATAGCTTATATTCAGCAATATTTCACCTACGATTGTTCAAATTTTTTAAATGCAGTGGAAGGAAAACAAAGCCGAAAAATGATGTGGAAGCCAGTGCTTACACTGTGTGTTAGGATAACTGAACAAGCTAGCTCTAGTTTCTTGAACTAAAGTTTTAGACTTTTCCGATAAATCATAGTTCTTTTCTCCTGAAGTAACACGATTGAAGTCTTCAGGGAGAGATTTATGCCAGAGACATTCTAGAATATTTTTATTTGGATACACTTGACCTCTATTTGATTGCAGAGCTGTACCTAAGGGACTAATTGCTAAAGAAAGAGAAAGCTGTCCAGCTGCTGTCTGACAGCAACATGAGCATTGTCCTGTGGAAACTTTAGAAAAAGTCAGATGAAGTAACATTGGTTCCCCATGCTTTCAGTTTGAGAAGGTGAATGCAACTGGGGAATGTTTATAAAGTCACATCAGGGGCATAGCATTAGTCACCAATCCATATGAGGAGCTGTAAGGTATGTCTGAGTAATTATGAGAGTTCCTGTATCCCATGCTGTATTCATACATGGTCAAACATGGTCAAAACATGAGGGAAAAGGAAGACCTTGTTGGGCACAAAAGGAGGAACTGCATGATTTTATCTTTCCTTCCTTATAATTAATTCCCCAACATTTTGTCAGTATTTCTACTAAAATCCCAAGACTTATATTGCAGAAGATATTCTAGGTGTAAGCAGTTGATCTGCCCTGAACATGGTCTTTAAGGGACCAAGCTGTAGCTCTCAAATGAAATTCCATTTCATTGCTTCTGTGTTTTAACTTTCCTCCTCCCTGTGTAGTCCCTGGGACTCCTCTGAGGCCTTACTCAATCCTTCAGCCTTGCTATTTTCCCTCCTTGTCTGTGAAGGAAGCAACAGTTCTTGTTAAGGAAAGCAGTGAGGAGCCACAGGATCATCTCTTGAGTGGCATTTGGGGACTGGTGCTAAAATGTCAACTTTATCTGGTTTCTAGAAAGTCAAAACGGTTCTGGGAACAAAGTGTGGAAATAGACCATGGCCTGGCTGTAAGGGAGAGGCTAAAGGCTGCAGTTATGGGAGTACTTTTGCTGAGCTAAGAGAAGAACAGGATGGGACACAGGTATCCTGTGATGAAGTAAGGCAGATCTACCCTGTATATTTTATCTAATTAGTAAAATAAGTGATCCTGATGAAGATGTCCAAGGATATTATCACCTGAAGCTCAGAAGATCCCAGAATGAAATAACCCACGTTTGTTCATCACCCTAAGGGCAAATCAGTACTCTGTGTAAGCAGATGGCATGGAGAGGCTTCTCATTCACCGGCTATGACAGAGTAGCTCTCTTTATGAAGTAATTTAATTTACTAAATAGATGTTTGTAGTGGATGCCCTCTTACAAAATATTTGGTCTTATTGTACTCAGCTCCCCCCCTCCTCATTCAAATGTTGCCATGCAATGGTCACCGTGATAGCCCTGATCCTTCTCAGAAACTACATGCAAACTGAGATGAAGCCTGAGCACGATGTCGTAAGGTCATTACTGGTCATGGTCAGGAGAACCATGAAGAAAATCAGGAGGAAAGGTCAAGCCCTCCTAGTTTTGGAAGCAGTGGGTACCAGGTAAAAATGAGTGCTTCTGCAAATGCCAGGGGAAAGCTGGAGGTGCCTACTGCAAGTGCTTAGAGCCCCACAGATCCTAACCGCCACTGGCACACGGTGAACAAAGAAACTTTTGGGAAATGAAGGGTGAGAATGGCCCCAGAAAGTCTCTGTGGAAACATTTATAATTTAGCCAGCTTGCTTGTCCATCATTAATGAACAAGTATGGTATTCTCTAGTAATGGGAGCTTGTATTTAACCAAAGGAAACAGGTCTGCCAGCTGAAATGTCTAGTCAAATGTGGAGAGCCTCTATTCTGCATTGTCTGCCAAGGCCATTCTGAGCGTATGAACCAGCATGGTGAGCAGGAAAATGGATTCTAGAATCAATCTCACACATCCTAATCCATGGACAGACACAGAGGATAGGGAGGTCAAACACAACCTCATTTCTGACCTCAGAGCATTTGTATTGATAAAAAATCTGTCAAAAATTAGGAGATAGCTATTAAAACTTTTGGAATGGAAATGTTTTATAAATAAGGAGGCTAGAGACTTTAATTTGCCAAGAAGCCTCTAAATTTACTCATTTACCACTTGTGTTGGGTCCAGGAACATGAATTACTGGCCAGAAAGCAATCCTAAACACAGTGTGTGCCCTAGAAGAGCAGGAGAGTGTCTGCCAGCAGCTGGGACTGCCAAGTGCCAACGGGAGGGAAAACAGTAGAGGAGAGAACACAGAGGTAGTTACTATGTTTGGGAAACTTTCTGTGAACAGTGGTTAGCCAAGGGAGTGGCAAACAGGTGATGGAAAAACCTTCATTTGACACTGACCTCATCAGTTAACAACCAGGGGAGCCTAAGCAACAGAAGTAGTTGATGTTTACTCCTTAGTTAATGTGTGCCAATGACTTAGATACAGTCTCTTGTTCTCCATACATCCTTAGAGAGTACAACAAAAACCACAATAGAGACATCAATGCTCAGACTTTAAAGAACTTTTTGTAAGGTGGCATTCACAATACTTCGACTATGTCTAACAGTTAGGATGATTCACTCCCTATCACAGCCTGTACAAATCTGTCTAGGTGCTTAATTCCACTTAGACATGCAGTGGTAAGGGTTAGAGTGGAGACAGATCCTCCATCCTCCATTGTGACCTATGGTGCAGCAGTGGAGATAAAGTCAGAGGTTTTGTGTTATTCTTTTCAAGTGAGTTGATTAGAAAATATGAGCATAAAGCTGACATGCAAATGAGTACAGTTTACTGTGAACATAGGATAAAGCATTGTACCTATGACTCTAATATTGACTGTTTATTGATAGTCCTGATATGATAAAGGATACAAGCTTGCAGTATTGTTATCTTTAGGGACCAGTGGGCCACTGGTAGTGGGATCTAGTAGAGAGAAATTGATGACAGCTAAGGTGATGAATTAACACGACAGAAAGCAAAATGTAAACATTTCTCATGAAGATTTCTGTTTCTCTATAAAATATTCTGAACTTCAATGTAGAGGAAGCTGTCACTTCTGTGGAGCAAGATTTTGACATATGCATTTAAAATAAGCTGGCATTTCTTTTTGTCAAACATCTTTAATAGTTTCTTTTTCACTTTTTATCTTTTAACAAAAAATGCTCAACATAACCAGACCTTTTAAATGTACATACATCCCAATGGTGTAAAGGTAAGGTACACAAATGTCTACCAGCTATAGGTTAAGTCGCTGAAATTAGTAGCTACAGTGTAACATGATATTTGCCTGCATGAAGTTCTGCAGGAAGACCTGCTGGGACAGACCTGGGTTTGCATCTGATAAGATGTGAGATGCCTGAATTGTAGCAATTAGGAATGGCAAGAATTGATTAACTCTGCCCCTGGTCCTATGCATTCCTTGGAGTAACAAATAGGAAATACATTGTAATGGGAACTGGGAGTTGAAGGAGATGGCTCTGACTAGTCAAGTGCTTGCCTAAAAACATGAGGACCTGATTTCAGATGTCCTGAACCCACACTGACAGCAGGACTTAAGCCCAATACTAGTGGAGTGGAGACAGCTAGATGCCTGTAGCTCATTGACAAACTAGCCTAGCCTAACCATGGCTTTCTCTTTCAGTGAGAAACTCTTTCAAAAAATAAAGGTGGAAAGTGAACAAGGAAAAACATTGACATTAACCCCCACTCATACTCACCCCCCCATGAAACATTTATGTCTATATGTACTAGCAGGCACATGCAGCTCACATAGCTGTGAAAGACACTTCAGGCTCCAAAGAACTCAGTGAGATGAGTAGAGGACAGAAGAAAGCAGCTTCTATTTGTCATTGTGAGAACTGATAGAATGTCCCAAATGTTTGATAGCTGGCAACTCTTCACATAGGCTGTGCCAAGTATTTTTCATTATAACCTGTAACCTCATGTATATTTTAATAAGAAATCTGAGACGCATGTTTCTAATTCATTTACACTTAACTCATTAAAAGTTAGTTTTGCAATAACTATCTCAGGCTTCCCAGGACTTTAAAACTATTTGAGCCTTTTATCTTTGAGGCAGAAAATTCACATTTTATCACTAATAAATGAAACACTGCCCAGAAAATAGGAATTGGATTCTCAACTTTCTACTCAGGAAGTTCAAATTTATTTGAAAGTCAGGAAACCTAACTCTTGCAGTCCTCTGATCCTAAACAAAACGTCTCTCAGCACTTCTTTTTTCTTTAAGGTAAAACATACAACAAAGTGAAAAGATATATCTGTGGGTTTATTTCTCTCATGTTAATGCACACAATCTAATCATCAATATGCAGAAGAGCTGTCACAGAAAGGAGGGCTTTCCTCTTCATCAGTGAGCATGGGGTGAGGCAGGCTTGAAGTGCTGGGTGCCATTGCTATCACAAAGATCGTAATGCAGAAGTCACTTGCTGAGTTTATGTGTCA